AAGAGAAAAAAGAGAAAAAGGAGAGAAGAGAGAGAAAAAAGAAAGAGAAAGAGGTAAAGAAAGAACAAAGAAAAGAGAAAGGAGACAAAAAGAGAGGAGAGAAAAAAGAGAAGAGAAAGAAAGAGAGAAAAGAGAGGAGAGAAAAGAGAGAAAGAAGAAAAGGAAAAAGAAAAAGGAGAGAGAATAGAAGATAAAGAAAAAAGAGAAAGGGAGAAAGAGAGCAGAGAAAAAGAGAAGAGGAAAAAAAGGAAAAAGAAAGAGGGTGTGTGCCTTGCTGCTAATGTCTCCCATTGAGGGGTAGGGGAGGCCCTATGCTGGCCCAACAGCCTTACCTGGGGCCCTTCCAGGGCAATTGCGGCACCGATCCAGTGTTGCATGGAGCCTGGCTGGCAGCTAGAGCATGGCTCTGGACAGCTCCATTTCTGGCGGTGCACACCGCTGCCACATGCACTATGCTACATTTTTTTTTGCAGCAGTTTTTTTTGATACTGGGATCTCCCAGTGTCAAATTTTGGTGCTGCACTATAAATTAGCAGCACGGTGAACGGTTGCATGCATGCTGTGTGTAGTTTGTGAAACCTCAAACAGCTTTGAGGTGCCACAAACTGCATGTGCACACTTGTCTGGACGTGCCCTATGATTCCATGGTTCAAGCAAGAGAAACTTCAGATCAGGGCTGAAATAGGTCCAAAGTCTGTAATGTGATGAAATGCGTTCATCCAAAATCCCATGGGTTTGTCTGCATCATTCTCATACCAAACCCAGAAATTGCACCCACCCACTTGCTTCTGATCTGCATGTGCTCAGTCTCAGAAAGAAAGCAGTACAGCGACCTCAGAGGGTACACACAGACACTGTCAGGATGACTGCTTACTGGTGCGTTCTCAGGGCAGCTCTGACATGGCAAGCAGCCCTGTTTCATTTCAGGGATTTGGCACATGCAGAATGGAAGTGAATGGGTGGGGCAAGTTGCCTGACTGAACTCCAGGCATGGAAGGGAGTCAGTGTAGGCATGCCCCATGTACAGTAATAATCCAAGGAATCACTTGAATTATAGGCAAGTAGGGCTGCAAAGGATCTCACAAGGCCATGCATCTCAAGACAGGATCATCCCTGACTAAACCATTTCAGGCAAGTGTCTGCCTAACCTGCTTTTGAAAATGTCAAAGATGCAGATTCCATGTCTGCTCTACGTAATTCCAAGGTTTGACCACCCTCATAGTAATAAAGTTCCTCTTAATCTCCAACCTAATTTTCCTTGCTGCAGGCCATTGCTCCTAATTCTGTCCCCTACAGCTACAGAAAAAAGATTACCTCCATCTTCTCAGGCATCTGAAGACTGTTATCAAATCCTTGCTCAGTCTTCACCTCTCCAGACTAAATAACCCCAGCTCTTTCAGCCTTCCCTCATACATCTCATCTCCCCAGTCCCTTATCATTTTTGGTGCCCTGCATTGGATTCTTTTCAAACTGTCCACATCATTCTTGAAGTGTAGGGCCCAAAACTGGACACTATTCTAAGTGAGGTCTCATCAGCACTGAATAGAGGGAAAGAATCAGTTCCCTTGATATGTAAGTGACATTCCTGTTGATATAACCCAGTATGCTAGTGGCATGTTTTGGGACCTATTGTTTCTCTGGTCCCTTTTTATTGCCTTTTATGCCCCTTCCTAGCTGTATCTCAAATGGTTTCTTGGCCTTCCTAATTTTCTCCCTGCGTGCCCATGAAATGCGCTTATATTCTTCCCTAGTACTATGACCAAGCTTCCACTATTTATAGGACTCTTTTTTGACTTTCAAATCCCTGGAGATTGCTCTCTAGTTAGGATGCCCTTCCCATTGGGACAGTTTGTTCCTGTACCCTTAAAAGGACCTTCTGGTGCCCGCTCTCCTGGACTCCTTTTCCACTCAGACTTTACTCCCAGGGGATCCTTTCCACCAGTTCCCTGAGTTTCTTAAAGTTTACTTTTCTAAAGTCCAATACCCTTATTCTGCAGCTCTCCTTCCTTCTTGTTCTTGTGTAGGGGGCTGTGGGTGGGGGACGAGGGGCACCGG